GGAGTCATTGATCTCAAATGTCATCTTTCAAGCCCAGGACAACCTATACATCATCCACAAAAGAGATACGACGATAAAAAGAATTAAGTAAGTTAAACAAAACCATTTTAACAAAATGCCGCCACCGTGGCCTTGCAAGACAAAAGAAAAGGTAGAGAAACCGCTGTAAATACTGATTTCGAAATGAGTTCAACTTCCTGGAGAACCGTTTTCTTCCTGATAAACACACTAAAGCATCTTTAAAGGATTGTTAGGTATGCTGTCATACCGCAACAGCCGTCCTCCTGTTACTCATAAAGCTCCATCGACTCTTCTTCGGCACCTTAGTTCCCCTTTCTTCCCCCTCCTCCTTGGAAATCTTCTTTGGCCGTTTCCCCAACTTCCCAGTTGCCTGGTGCTGCGGAAGCGTCACCAATTGCTGGGGAATCGCCAAGCTCGCTTCGTCAAACGAGGTGGGTAGAGCGCTAACAGCGACGGACGACCGTTCCTTTTGGCTGGAGTACGTCCTGTACGGGGTTTTACTGTTGTCGCTGATGTTGGAGACGATGTTGGATTGCATCGGTTCCAGCTCGGCGGTAGTGTTTGCTGTGTGAACCGTTGAGACGGCGGTGCCAATGGGGGAAGTAACGGCGCCGGTGCCGGTGGAGGATTGAAAGCTGTTGTCTTCTGAGAAGTCTGGGCCATCTTCTTCTACCACCACGGATGGTGCGATGGGGTGCGAATTCTTGTGCGAAGAGGAAGCTGTGGGAAGGGCGAGGGTTCCGCCGAATTGCATGGGAGGGATTGCTGGAACGGGTGGGATGCCGGCGGCACTCAGTGAAGCGCTGCTGCTGGTTAAACCTCCTCCTACTTTGGTCGGACTACTCTTTGGGGATGACTGACTGGGCGATGAGGAATGTCCGGCTTGTTTGTATGATGAGTTTGACACATTTCGGGCATGACCGGGATGGAGACGGTGAACAGAGTCGGTGTCGCTTGTCCGCCGGCTGGGTAGTCCCGCGAGCGGACTTGAGGTTGTCACTGCGCTGGTAAATTTCCTCACGGGCGTGATCTCCAAATCGTCTTCTGAGCTGCTGGAGTTGCTGGAGCTCTGGACGGGGGAATTCGAGCTGTCCCTGGTTCGAGGGGCAGAGCCAGATCCTCCTTCAAAGTGAATTCGTCCACCAGTTGCTGCAAGCCTGCTTGAAGACCAGCTGGCACGGCCGGAGTCGAGCTTGGGACGCCGAAGTTCCTTTTCTTTTCCCTTTATCGATGTTCCACTGCTGGCAGCTCCAGCCATATCGATCGAGAGATAGCTGACTTCACCGCCATGATGGCTCCACCCCGGGACCGAGCCGTGGTAGCTGTATGCTCGGGGAATTGGAGGGACGGGTGTGGCGTAGCCGCTGGGGTTGTTATATGAAACGTGCGTGAGGCTGCTGTTGGCGCGCGTAAAGACACCGGCGTGGACTGGAGTTGAGAGTCCGCTCGGCATACCCATGCCGTTTGCTGTCATGACACTCCTCCTTCGGTTCTCCTCCATGATTCTGAGTCGATCGGCCTCCTTCCAGCCCGTTGGACCACCCATGAGAGCATCGAGGGCGGCATGCCTGGGTATGTGTTTGTATGGGACCTTGGCCTCTGCCTTGTCCTTTTGGGCATTCTTTGCGTTCTGTTCCTTTGCTGCTTGCCGGCTTCGTTTGATTAAAGAGAAGACCGACATTGTGGGCCGTCAGGTGTCTAAGAGGCACCTGAGACAACGTATATGAAGTGTTGCCGAACAGATCCCCCAAGATGTAGGTGGGATTGGTAGCGAGCAGATGGGGAAGTGCCTTCGCTTATCTGGTTGGTCGGATGAACGGGCCGAAAATAAGTCAAGGTAATGTCGAGGTCCCAAGGATAGATGTATTGTGAAGACGAAACTGGGCGAGAATTATTGATCAACCACCAGAGATAGAGAAAGGCGGGTTGAGTGGGAGGTTATATAGGTAATCCACCTGCTGGTTCGGCTCTGCAAAGAAATGGAGGAAAGAAAAGTGAGGTGACCCCGGGAAACTACCTAGAGAAGCCATTACAGGGGTGGTACACTTCCATCAATGCGGAAAACATTGGCTGTCATCTCAGAGGTCAAAGGCCTTACCCAACATGGAGTTCTCCCCATCAGCTACAGCTCAGACCGGTCAAGAAGCCGAAAACAGATAGCACCGCTGCAGTGACCTGGGCATATTCCACGTCCGAGCAGCCAGGCATCTGGCTGGTTTCCCCCATGGGAAGCACCGTGGCCGATGAGTACCTTGTACATGCCCGGTACGACTGCGATGACTGGGCATTGGGAATGGACAAACGAAAGAAGCAGAAGGAGAAGCACGAAGCGAGAAGCTGCAGCAAAGGAGCAACAACACAGCAACGACGACGCCGTCAGCCACGCGGTGGGGGGGGGGGGGGGGCACCACTCATCACTTGAGTCCCATCTCCCGCTCCCGGAAGAGTACGCCAACGCATCCAACGAGTTCCTGGGACTGGAATCTGTGGAAGAGAAGCCGCATTTTCCTCGCTGCACGCCTGGCGGGGTTGGTTGCGTTGCTATCGGATGAAAAAAGCGGACACAGATGGTTGGTGTGAGTGAAGCTGTACGTAAGAGTAGAAGTTGTACATAACCTCAACAAAAGGATGATAGGGTAGAGGTACCTCTACCTTTACATACCAAGTTGGTCCAGCCGCCGGCGGTCCTTCGTGAACCCCTGTCCGCATGGGTAGAGGTACGTACCGTGTTTCTCCCTTGCCTGACACTAAAACTAGAGGCGTTTCCAGCTCGCTGGGTCCATTCAAAAAGGCAACCATGCCGAGGGTCTAAGTCTCTTCGGGGCAGGCCCTACAGGTAAGGATGGCTTTAGGGCTAGGTAGGTAGGCTTGTCTAAGTTTTGTTTAAAGAGGCCTACCAAACCTCGATACCTTATCCACCATAACACACCGAAAAGGAACCTTGTACCCTATGTATCATCAACACGTGGGTTTATCTATCTATCTTCTGTTACACGCAGCAGTTTAGAATGTCGGTTACAATATGTACCTAGGTGTGTTAGTGTAGTTAGCACTTGATAGGCTTCTTGGCGTCAGGTAAGATTCTGGTTTTCTGGATACCGTCAGCAACAACACAGTCTGTGTCGGCAAAGTTCTTCCGGTCCAACCAAACAACAAAGGGTTGGCTTGTTAATTTCCTGAAGCATCAAACCTTTTCACAACTTGCAAAACTCCTTCGCAGTCAATGTCGAGCAGATAACCTCAAATTGCAATCGACAGAGCCCATTCCTTCTTTTCCTTGTTATTACCCAGTTACACGAGGTTGGTTGTGAGCGGCTTATCAACCGCCCACTCATTCCCCCCGACTCATCTACAGACCGCACCGTCAAGAAAGAGTAAGCTGCGAGATTGTTGCGGTTTGTACCTCTCTGAGTCCAACGCAGAGCTAGAAAAAGCAAAGAAGCAGAACGCCGCATATTATAATGGACGCGGACAAAGTGCTGGGGGCGGGGGGGTAATGAGAGAACTTTTGTTGTCCCCCATCCCTTCTCGTATTTACAACGGTTGGTCAAGCACACAACGCATGCCGTACCGGTACCTACGCCCCTTGACTTTGCAGTATGTGTACATACCGCCGCTTAGGACGGCGGCGCAATATGAACGACGGTCTGCTGCCTGTGAGCGAGGATGGACCAGATGCACGTACTGCACATCTAAGCAAGGAAGTAACCTTGGTCATAACCATCTCCGAGTTATAGGCCATGGGTTTTGGGGTTCCACTGGGCCATTCACAGCGTGCAAAATTCCATACGAGCCCTGACGCCATGTCAGCCGCAGAGCAGCCAGAAGGATGTTGTTGCTCAACAGCGTCTGTTGTAAAGGTTAGGCATGGCATCGTGCGATTGAGGAACTGACAGGGTCCCCTTTTTACCACACAGACCGTGGACAACTCAGACCACACCCTCAGGAATTTCTTGTACGACGAGAACACAAAAAGGTGAGAGGAGCCCCAAGGAGTCATTGGTTCTCCTTCGAAGCCTTCCCGAGACACAAGTGTCCCCTCTTGGCAGGGCATGAAGAACTCAAGTTCATTACCCGGGTGTTTGTGCCTTGTGCCTGAGCGTACCCGTGAGGGCTTATGAGGAAGCCTCGTCGTATTCTTCTTCTTGTTCCCCCTCCAGCCGCACTTGATAGGCGGGGCGCCAAAGGAAACTTGCTTCCTTTATCACTAGCCATGATGCGTGTAATTTCCATCCTCATCGAAGGTTCCTATCAGTGCAGGTAATCAGTGACCCCTCCTTAAAGGGAACCCCCAACTGGTTGTACCACCGTAGCAGGCCATATATCAAACTTATCACCACCCACCTTGTACATGGCGATGCGGCCCCGATGCGACGATGCTGTAGAAATCCAGATCGTGGTATTCAGCATCGATAGCAAACTACCGGTCTGCCAACAGCGCAGCACGCATAAGCCATTCCCAGAACGCTGGAGTGCGACTATTGATGTGGGTGAAGGCTACTTTATCGGTCGGTCAGCGCGAGTGAATGACTGCAGAAAGCATCTTTTCCTTGCCTGCCTCACCCTCTGTGGTTGGCTTTGGTTGGCTTGTTCTGAGCGCCCTATTCCGAATCTGGCAGCACCATAAGTCAATAGTGGCAGCCGCCTTCGTCTTCCAGCTTTCAGCATATGTACATCGCTCTTTGCGAAATGGACATGCATGACCGTGGCTTGCGTGGGACCCGATCGGTGATGGTGTAAGTATCCAGAGCAGAGCACTTTACCATACACGTGGGCTGAATTTTTCTGCTCAGCTCCTCTGCTAGTATTGCAGTGATGGTGCCGTCGGATTGTCATGACTAAATAATGAGTACAAGGCAATCTATTCCCAAACGGACGCACGAATGCAATGGCGGAATTGATGAGTGATCGAATGCCGCAATGCCTTTCAACCGGACTTGACCTTTACTGCACATCTTATCGGCCCGGAGGGGCATACCATACGAGTTCTGAGGTTGATATAAGTAGGTAGATATCATATCGGAGCGGCTTATAGCTGACGTCGTTATCCGCCCGCCGCCCCTGGCAGCCCAACCTCACTCAATACGACGACATGGACTAAAATAGAACCCACAATACCAGGCTCTCGAATGTCACTTACCACCTCCCTAACAGGTCATCTCAGGCGTAAAGCAAGCAAGAGTTTTGGGCGGCTTTATAACCATACTCTCCGAAACCTTAACTACCTTGAGGCATTGTGTTTGATCAAAAGGGGAAAGGCTTGCTATGGAGGCTTACTTACTTTACCCTAGATGAATGACATCTTGCTCGTTTATACCACTCCTGACAGTCTTCGAAAGCCGCCGGCTATTGAGAATCTTATCGTCCGATACAGGTCAGCTTGGTGGCCAGACAAGGGCATGCTCCAATATCTTCATCGGACGAAGATGATCTGCCAAATGTCTGGGACGGAGAGACGCTTGCTCGACAAGAATAAAATTCCCCTCCCGAATCATACATCCGATTTGCTTTGGCACGTCAAAGCGCAGACTATAGCCACACCGCACATCGATTGTGGGCTTGCTTGTCCAAATTTACCACATGTAAATGTGTATTGAGTTTCAGTCAGCTAGGAGGATATGTCGGCGATACCATCAATGCCCAATTCGACATTGTTCCTTGCTGCTTGCAGCCTCGAACAGGCAAATGCGAGATAAGCATGGCTATTCGGACAGGATGCGATTGGCCGGGATACAAGCCTGACGGGTTCCTGGCGTAACCGCAGTACCGGCATACGCACACATATTTAGCCTCCTGCAGCCTGTTTCTCGATCACATCGCGGCGCATATTTTGCTGTCACCCGAAGCTGGCAGTCAATCGCGAATCTCGAGCCTAGAAGAGGCAGCTTGCCGGTGCTGTGCCGATGCTGTTAATCTCGGGTGATGTATTGATGATCCTGCTAATGCCTTTTCATAGGTCAGGGCCACCGTGGCAGGAGTATTATCTTCGTATTGCAAAGCCAATCGGTTTCGGTGCAGCCCATGACATCGAGAAAATTAGGCGTCGGGGCTTGAAATTCGGATACGGCATGACCAAGACCAAGGCCCGTCACGATAGTAGCGCTCGCCACGATACGGTATGTTCCTGCTCTGTCTCAAGAGTTTTCCATGGCTAAAATACGGCCTCCCGAACCTGGTGTGTATCACCTTGTTAGCAGTAGAACACGACGTGGGAGGAGAAGAAGAAGAAGAAAAGAAGGACAAAACTCCCAAGCCGTATAAAGCCATGGCCAGGCCTGTCTCAGAAGATCAGCAGCCCAGCCGCTGCCATCATCCGACGGGTGCTGCATCGCCTTGTGATTGTCGAAGATGTGATTTCTATCACCATTGAGTCTGTCTCAGAGGAGCAGAAAGCTGGCGTGGGGGTTTGAAGGACAGATGATAGCTCTTGTTGCAGATGGTCCGCTACGTTCCTTGTCCAAGGTGACAGGTGTCGATGGCGTTACCTGCGGCAATCTCGGGCTACATGAATTAACGCGCAACGGAAAGCCAGAACATGCTTCGCTTGTAGCATCAGCCCTCGATGTATCATGCCTCTAGACCACAACGTCTTGAATTTAGAGACACGAAGTGTACCGTTGCCTTTTGAGTGGGTGACATAAAGTTATGTCCCGCCACCCGAGGACCCTCCAGATATCGTGCGGAACAAACC